GGCGCGTGCTGCACCCAGCGCACGGCGGCGTCCAGCACCACCTCCTCGCCCGGCACGGCCACGCGGTCGCTGGCCAGCAGCGCCGCCAGCGTGTCGGGCGCCAGCGCCAGGAACTCGTCGGACTGCAGCACGTCGACGAAGTGGTCCTCGACGTAGCGCGCGGCGGCGTGGCGCAGGTCGGCGCAGGCGTGCAGGTCCGCGAAGGCGCGGATGCCGAGCGCGTTGTCTGCGCAGAGCGCGGCGGCCAGGAAGGCGCAGGCGGCGCCGCGCACGCCGCCCACCTGCAGCAGCGACGCGCCCGCCAGCAGGCTCTGTCGGCGGTATACCGGTACGTGTCGGGAGTCAAGGATTGAGCGTTTGAGCTTTTTTTTTATAAGATTACAGATTAATTCTCTACGGACTCGAGGTCCGTGCCCTTGTCATACAATTTTTTTTTAATATAATACATCTAGTCAATTTTTATAAAGTAAAGCGGGTACCTAGTTACACACTGCAATTAACTACATCTATAATTATTACCAAAAGTATAAATTACATAATAATTAGGCATTATCTACTTATAAGGCTTCATGAAATCAGCCCACCAACAAGATGGGAGAACCGACCTGACCCAGCAGAAGGCACCCATTCACGAGTATGACGTGTGTGTCAGCAATTGGTCCGGTCAACCTTTTTATTGGGAACGGAACAACCCAACACACAGCGCCACCGACTGTAGGTCATTTATGTGTGCATGACGCCTCAACCCTTGCCACGTTGGCCGATTCCAATAAAGCTTACAATAGTCCAAAGTCAATAGGTTATTTTCTATTTCTACATGTTTCTGCATACACATTTCCTCATGTAGCATTCGTTTCATCATAAGCAACACTCTCCGCCCAAGAGAGCACCCACAACTGCCGCGTCCCTGTGTTTGATAGCCATTTTCAGGTTGTAGTCCTTAATCCCTTGCTCACCCTCATCAGCCGCCCTCCTGATTAGTTTGCTTATCGCGTCTTCACTGTTGTCAGTGTAATAGATGCAACCATGCGTGTGACGCGATATTGCTACTACCGCGGGTGGTACGCTGTCATGTATTTGATGTTTCTTCGTTGCTGTGCTCACAACAACCACATTCGCACACGAAAGTCCCTGTGCCTCTGAGGTCATTTGCAGCTTCGGTTGTTGTGGTGACAATAAGATCTTTGTCCGCTTCAAATTGATCTACTATCCATGTCGTTTTTCCGCAGCCAGGGACGCCATTTGTCCAGCGAAACCTCGGAGTTAAGGTCGAGGTGTTGTTGTCGTATATGACTGCTTCCGCTGCTTCGAGTCTATCGTTCAGTATTAGCTCGTTTCCTTGCAGGTAAGTCTGCAGAATGGATTCGCATTTCCGCATGTTGACCTGCCTGGTTGCCTCCACCACTGCGGTAAACTCGAGAAAAGCATTTACGATATGGTCTCTGGTAGTGGACGCCTGCCGAAGCCTTGGCGGACAAACGTGACCCATGGCTGCTCTTGTTGGTGATGACCTGGAGGGAGGAGGCTGTATTTGAGCGCCATAGCCTCCTGATCCTTGAACAGATTTGGCCACATTTTTTCTGAAGGGTGACGAAATCAGTCCGGTTAACGAGCATACGGCCGCTGTTATTGCCCACACTCTACCTCGTGATTCTATTTTTTTTATTTTCCCTCTCGGTGTATTGTTGGTGTTGTTGCAGAGCGCTTTGTTGCCAATATATGAGATATATATTGAGCTATGATATTGAGCTTGAAATGGTAACAGTGAATTATCTTTGATGTACTTTGTTAACCATGTTTGCACTTGAAAGTGACTGAGACTTTGCGTTTATTTCGGCATTTCTTCCCTTGAAGTAAAAGGTAAAAGTGCAAAGTACAAAAATAAAAAATTGTTTCCTTTCGAAGATCATATATATTTATAGCCTATAGCCATGCTCGATAAATGCGCTATCCAACACAAAAATAATTACTCAAATCAGACTTGTAGTTACAGAGATTAACGCGTTCAAACAAACAAACAAACTCTTCCGCTTTATATACCTAATAGTATTAAGATATAAGATAGAAGATTTATGTTTAGTGAGTAACAATTAGATACAAAAAAGTACGTGAAAAAAGCCACCAGCTAGTACGTCTACCGCAGTGTAAGTAGTGGAAGTAGTAACCTGCACGTTGTCCTCGGTGACGACGAGAGAGTCCGGGCAGTAGATGTACTCGATGATGGCTTCCAGTGCCTGCGGCTCCACATTCTGAAAATTATTATTTCAAACTAGCTGTTATGGGGTTGACACATTCAATTATCTGGATAAAAACCCCTTACTAAATAGAGAATAAAATAATGTAGCTGTTGCCCGTTACGTCGTCCGCGTAGAACATGAATTTAAGACATAACTATTTTGTTTCAATTTTACAAATTAAAGTCTATATTACTCCTTAGTACATCAGCTACCTGCCAATAATTTTAGAGTCGCGCTGATCAGCGCTGGCAGCTTAGCGCGTAGCTCTCGGCGCATAGCTATCAGTTGCAACTCGTTTTAGAGTTCTGCTGACCGCGGCGAAGTACAGACATGGCCAATCCAATGAATGTCCGAATTGCTGCCGTGTATTTGTTATGGAAAAACATCGAAGAATCCTCTTGGGTCAGGCAAAGTTTTACTGGGTTTTGAAAAATTCTCAGTGGTAGCACGAAGTCTGGAATTGTATCCGGTATATGGCATGGCACCCCTATTACATGGGACTCATAACATACGATAGTGAAAAGTGGGTGTTAGATCATAATACACTGGCATTAAGTGCCGTAATTTATTTATTTTTAAACAGTCACAACGGTAGAAAATTCAAGTACAGTAACTGACATGTAATGTGCCCGTCTTTTGGGGATAAAAGGCGTGATGTAGTGTTATGTTATGTCTACTCTACACAATCTACCTATAGTCAGAATTTTAATTCGATTCCAGATTTGACATTAGCTACTGTCATTTTGTGAAATAATGTTACCACATATAATAGTGTAGTGATGAACACAAAAATCGATAAACAATCAGTCTATGTGTTTTATAATAAATATTACAGAAAGTGACAGGATAGCGATAGCGATGACGGCGAATATAAAATAAATTATTACCATAATACATCTATCTGTTTTATTTGTCATGTTCCTTCATGATTACATTTTTATTTATTTCACAGACAATTATAAAAGAAAAGTCTCAGATCGTTAATTAATCGTCAAACCTAAATAGTTAGAAATATTTAATTTTCTGATATACTTAGTTTACGAGAGTAAAATTATAAACGAGAAGAATTGATCCAGAAATATTTCATTTCCTTATCGAATAATTTCGCAACGTCACTATTTAGTACTTGTCATAACGTTGCAACATTGAAATTGTGCAATCTGGAATCGAATTAAAATTCCGAGTATAGGTTGTGTTTTAAAATGGAACTCGAACCTGAATGGTAACAGAGGGCTGCGTGCTCTCGTCGAACTGTGTGAACATGGCGTGGAAGTACGGCGAGGCCGCCGCTAGCACCGCGCGGTGCGCCGGCAGCCCCGGCCCGTCTGCGGCCGCGCCCCCTGTCCCCTCCGCGCCCTCCGTCCCCTCCGCGCCCCCTGTCCCCTCCGTGCCCTCCGCGCCCCCCGCGCATTCGGCGCGCGCGTGCAGCGTGACGTCAGTGAGCACGGCGGCGCGCCGCAGCCGCGCGAGGGCGGCCATGACGCGCGCGCAGTGGGCGGCGCCGGCCGGGCCCGCGCCCGCGCCCGCCGCTCGGGCCCGCGCCCGCGCCCGCCGCGCGCTGCGAGCACTCGTCCAGCGACGACTGCGACGCGCAGCGCACCATCATACTGCGCACACACGCCAGTACTCCCCTACTGTCCACTACACCATGGGGACCTTGTATGCAGCCCACGCCGAGACGTGGCGCGACGGCACTGGACGAGGCCAGACGCACGGTTTGACTGGACGGTTGGTGCGGTGGCTGGGCAACCGGCTGCCACGCAACGTGTCGCGGTTTCAATGCCCGCACGGAACAACTCTGTGTGATCCACAAATTGTTGTTTCGGGTCTGGGTGTAATGTGTGTGAGTGTACCCGCACTGTCGTATGGCCGTATCGCGTTGCGTCTCGGTGTGAGCTAACACTAAAGGTCGAAACAAATTTACGTGTCGCAGCATGGCGGCCCCGGTGTCCACTCCAGCCCAATCGGTTGCAAGAACTCTCTAGTACTTTAATAGTTATATGAAATTGAAACCGGCTCCAGGCGCGCTACGACACGACACGAAGTGTGTTTTCATGCGTGTGTACTTTTGCTTACAAAAGAAACGACATATTTTTCAATTACATCACTACATAGTATAAAGCAAAGTCGCTTTCTATGTCCCTACGTCCCTTAGTATGCCTAATTAAATCTTTGAAACTACGCAAGTACGCAACGGATTTTGATGCGGTTTTTATAATAAGTAGAATGATTCTTAGGGAAGGTTTATATGTATAATGCATGCATAATATAGTAGAGAAATACTGATAAATTTAGAGGTTTCTAATGTGATGTCGAAAATCAGCACGTTTTTTGCGCTTATATTGCAAACACTGGCTGTACCCTACGAGATAGACCAAAATAATGTACTATAGTATTGACCACCTTCAAAAGTTCGACAAAAAAGTCCGCGATGGTATATATCTATCTATTAGAGATAACCCACCATAACCATTTTTGATCCTTTACTATCAATGGTTATTTACGAAGTGAATTTAAACAATACAGCATTAATCCTTATCCAATTAAGGACTTCAAATAAATTGTGCATTTATCATAGATCAATATGCTTTTTACAGCATGTAATTTAAGTGAATATTTTCGAAGATATTACAAATTTAAAATGCAGGGACACGTTTCGTCCTAGAGCTCTTCATGACTTACAACGATCGCACGCGTTTATCGGAGCTCTCTAGCGAGGAGAGTATCAATATAAAACATGTTTGTATTGTCTAATCACAAAATACCTGTGAACGTGGTGTATAAGGACATTTTGTAGTAGGTATTTTTACATAAGTATTGCACTCTAGCGAAGCCGGGGCGGGTCGCTAGTTTAAATTAAAATCAAATTAAAAATCCTGATAGATATTAGCATAATTAGTTCAGATATAATGTGATTGATGATATGGCTACGGAATTTAAGGCTTCATTTTTCCAATGTTCAACAATGTTCCATTTTAAACCATTTATTTGAACTAAGTAAAATGTTAGTGTACCCAAAGTGTACCTTAAAACTTCATATCCACAAGGCAATACTTTGCATGTGCCATGTCCTCATCATGTTGCTTATTATGTTGAAACTCACTAAGGATCTTTTGTTAATGTCATCTGTTGCTTGTTCCATAACAAGACATGAGCGACTCATAGCATTCAATATTGAGAATTAGAGCAATAAGTGTTGTGCATCACGTCTCATGAAAGAACATTTGATTCAGTAAAATTGTGAAAAAATTAAAAGTGGTCGTGGTCTTCAGTGAAATCTTAGAGTTATGGAATATTGACAAGTAATTACACAGCACAATCTTAGTCTCAATCCAAAATATACAAAATATATAGTCTAGTACAACATGAGGAGTGATAACACAACTAGAGTAACAGCTGACTTGTGATCTCTGCAGTCTGTACTGACACCCGCCACTATTGTTTGTAAACCATGTCATTGTAACAAAGTGCACCTGTAGCGCCCCCTGTCTCCGTCACCCTCAGCAGCACTGTTGTCCACCCCCAACCTGTAAACATTTAGCATAATATTATTATATTTAAATTTAATTTGTTAACAATTCACTAGTGAGTACATCTGAAGGAGATGCAGTAGAGGAAGATTGTACCCTGAATTAACTTATAGAGCCCCAACGATCTCATATAACATCACTGTTGTACATCACATACTATATAACAACACAAATTGTGGTTTCAAGTGCGAGTGTCACGTGTATGTGGTTTTGTATGGCTGTTGTTTGTGAAAACACCGACAACACAAGAGAAATTCTCATAGGGCAATGATTTCAAAAATGACACGATAATTTTATTCAATATATAGTACACATTGGAAATATTAAGAAGTTGTGCCTACACACACTAACGAAACCAGCCACATTTAGATATAACTATTAATTAGACCTAAGTAGGCTAATACCAAATAAAGTACATGGGTTTCACAAAAAAATATAGCTACAGAGTTGTGCGCCATACACTAGGGTTATTCTGAAAATTCCGCTAAATAGTTAAAAATACAATCTTCCAAGTTGCTAAGTTCGATGTATCAGTCCATCAACATTGTCCAAGTCAAAGGGTCACACAGACCCTTAGACAGCAACATTACGTCAAGTTACTCACAGGGCGCGCTCGCGCTCGGAGTCTGCCTGTGTCTCCATGCTGTTGGACTGCTGAGGATATTCAGGCGCTACGCGAATAGAACTGCACTCATCTATAGTAAACAAAAACTAGCTTGCAACGACACATTCAACACAATTACCAGTTAAACTGTATTTCACACATTCAATATAAATTAAAAGGCATATAGTAAATAATACGTCAGTCTTCCAAATTGCAAAATAAAATTCTATTGACAAATTCAAAATTAGTAAACACTTGTCAAATGTTTGACAAAACTGTCAAATTTACGTGCTGTCAAGAACACTTATGGCAGCGTAGACAGAGAATATAGATACCTCTATTCTCTGTCTACGTATGGCAGACTCAAAGTCACTGGTAAAATTTCCCATCATGACATACACTGATATAACAGTGACCTAAAATGTCAATTTGACACTGATGCCTTATAAATAGTTTATTTTTCCTATAATTAATTTTAATTTTAATCATAAGTGGTATATATTTAATTTAGTAATATTTAGTTTTAATTTTATTTATGTAATAGTTGTTATTTAAAAAAAAATCCATCTTTAATAAGAAAACTAAGATTTGCAGGAAAATTAGTAATTTCAAAAACAATGACAACAGGTTTCATCATTGACTCTGGTATTTCGTTGACAGTCAGTTTACTGACACTAGGTATTTTGAGGACGTCACAAAATTTATTGCAAGAATGACACTGATGTTGTCTCTTGTTGCCTCATTTTACTTCGGCAAATAGACAGAAGAAAACAAAACAACCAGTATGTTTATAAATTTACCGTCAAGATACATGTTAAATTGTACCCATAGACAATGGGCGATGTAAAGATTCTAACTAGCGCCTCTAGTGTCAAAATTGTTCAACTCAAGACATGGGTCGGATTAGATGAAACCGATACATACCTACTTAATCCACCTAATCCTAGTATTTAAAAATATGTAATCCATTTACAATCCTAATATTTTATTCAATACGGACTCACGGTCGCTGGCCTGTTACAAATATCGTATCGGTATTAAATACTGTATGTGGATTGGGTATGGAATATTCGGTATGGAGTTTAGACGTTCCATTTATGACATATTGTAAAATAATGGATTATATTACTTTTGTTTTTTATGGGTTAGGTAATGGTACTGAAAACTTTGGCTTGAAACGTCTAATTTCAAGCCAACGTTTTCAGTACCATTAACCCATAAAAAAAAATGATGATCAAAATTATCCTTCATACTTAAAGAGTTCGTCTACAGTGTTTTAATTTTAAAATGTCGTTTAATTAGACTCACACAGGCTTAGGACTAGGATCTTGTATAGATTCACACAAAAGGCGTATTTAATCATTTTGATGAAAGTATCTACAATAGCGCCACTTGTCAACAACATTTATTATTCGTACCTAACGACGCTAGAACACTAACTAGTTCTGTGGAATCCCACATAGATGGCGTTAGCGGAAATGCTAATAAAACTTGAAACGTAACTCTTACACTTTAAAGTGCAGAATATCTTCTGTGTAAACTGCGTACGAATATTCAGAGCCATATCTAATCCCCGACGCGTTGGATTACGTACGGATTCGTATCGAAAAATATCTAATCCACATACCTATTTTACGTCTCACGCCTAACAACTGAAGTACGACACTGACAATTTTCATATATAATTTACGTCACAGAAAAAAAATTTAAATATCAATCAGATTTATTGTGGTTTCTTGTATATAAATATTCTATTTCCTTTATCCACCATCACTCCATCATCAAACTCGCAGATATTCTATATTCCTGATTCATTTACAATATGTTTATCTGATCCACTGAAAATCAGTGCTGGGTGACTTGTATGCCTGGCTTATACTGAGTGGGTGACCCTTTTAGCATAGGCATGTTGTCAGCGTTTTTTTTTTCTCTAATTCTTCTGTTTTAATCCACTGTCGTACTTTGATTGTCTTTTTATATTTTATTTATGCTGCATCGTGCCTGGTGCTAAATAAATGTTTTTTCTTTCTTTCTTTCTTTCTGATGCTCTACCACCTTAAGATGCACTTATTTCAGTTATTAGGCCAGAAGAAGTTATTCATATAATAAACTTGGCTGTATTGTTTTTTTTATATTGAGAGTACGTCATCGTCAATAACATTTTAAAGATTTACATTTTTCAATCACAGTTTCAGCACGGTCTAATAGTATTCTTGTATTTTTATAGGGAGTGCCTCCGCTGCCGGCGCCGGTTGCCAAAAATATCACTATTGGAAACCGGCGGTAAGTATACTGCCGGCAGCCGAGATTTAAAACAACGGCTGCCGGCGCCGGCACTCAAAATGGCAGCCGGTGACAATGCGCAAAAGGCTGGGTTCCAGTGCCGGTAAACAAATATAAAAAAAAGTAAAAACATAACCTCAAAGATTCGACTTAGTTCTTTATTTTATTTAGTTTCATTAGTTTGTGCTGTTTGTTGTATTTATTCTGTTTGTCTTACGTTTATCGTTACGGTTTGGAAAAATGAAAGTCAGTGACGAGTATAGGTTAGGTTAGGTTTTTTTTACAAAGGTTAGGTTAGGTTAAGTTAGGGCCGGTTCCGGATCGCCCCGAGAGGGGGTGACATCCGCGGTGTGCGCGGGCGCCGCCCGCAGGAGAAGGAGCCCGGCGTTTCGTTATGCCGGGCTGGCGCAGGGCGGGTCGCGAACGAAGTGCGAAAGAACAGTTCTTGTGGCCCGCCCTCATGCGTGAGTGGCACACCCCGGGGTTTTTAGTGGGTTCGAGCCCCACAAAACCCGGCCTCGGCCCCGCGAGGCCGGGTATGCACGGCATTTTCCCCGGGCGAAAAAAAAAAAAAAAAAAAAAATGGGGGTGGCATCCGTGGTGTGCGCGGGCGCCGCCCGCAGGAGAAGGAGCCCGGCGTTTCGTTATGCCGGGCTGGCGCAGGGCGGGTCGCGAACGAAGTGCGAAAGTACAGTTCTTGTGGTCCGCCCTCATGCGTGAGTGGCCTCGGCCCCGCGAGGCCGGGTATGCACGGCATTATCCCCGGGCGAAAAAAAAAAAAACCGGCCCGCGAGGCCGGTTCCGGTTTCCGAGTAGGCTACCAGCGCCGGCAACCGGCGCCGGCAGCGGAGACATTCCCATTTTTATATTTTTGGAATGATTATGGTAAGTTAAGTTATTACTTATCATTTCAGTATCAGGCCAAGGAATAACAACTTTGAGTACTCTATTCAGCATGGAGCACATTTTGTTAAAATAATTAGAACATGTTTGCCTATTTATACCAAACAAAACACCAATGGCTCTAAATGTCATATTTTGTATAAATATTACCAAATTGTCAAAATAACTCTGCCTCTCACAGATAACATTTTCTTGTATTTTTGGAGCATTCAAGCCCAACTCACTAAAACAAGTCACTAATGTTACTAAAAGTTCAATTGAATGAATACCCGTATAAGTAAATAAATACATATCACTGCTGAGTAAATCTAAGAGGGTTAATTGCTTTACAGCTGATCTTTCCTCTTTCTATACAGGAAGAAAATTTATTTGATTTATAATTTTGTCTTTTGGAAACAATAGAAAACCTATTCCCGAATCTCCCTAAGTATTACATTGAGGAATGTAAGTATTACATTGAGAAAGGCAAAAATATTTGTTTCTACTTTTATTAAAAACAGGTTTCTGTATGTAATTATGATCCATATTTTGATTATGTTTAAACTTATTAAGCTCAACTCGAAAGCAAACTGTCTTTCTTTCTTAGACAACTTCTAACTTTCGCCGGTAGAGGCGCGCGGATAATCTCTGCATCGCCAATTATGATTGGTCATATCTATGGGTAAATTACATCCCGAGCGTACGGCGCGTCGCGTTCCGCGCGCGCCTCAAAGAGCCATCAGACCACCACAGATGGGGCCCAATACGGCCGATGCCGATTTGGAGTCGCGGAGAACCTAACGAGTAACCGGGGCTCCGGCTCGACGTGCAGGAGAAGGAACGGGGTGGTTTTTAGTCAGTAAGAGTCTGACACTCCCTCCCGCCTCACCCAGACGGGAGCAGTCATTCGATGATTTTCCCCCCTTAAAAAAAAATAAAAAAAAAATGGGTAAATTACATAGATATTTAGAAATACAGCTTGTATATTTAAACATGAAAATGAACGAGGGCACCACAGTCGTTCACATAGTAACCCCTACAGCGCGACTAGAGTAATATTGATACAAGCACATTATTTTACACTAGAAGTAAATATGAATTACCGATATCATGTTGATCATTGAATCTTAAATTAAGGAAACAGGCAATTATCCGATTTTAGGTTGCCCAAATGATTATCAATATCACTGACTAACCCGTGTTCTAGGTTGTTCCAGTAAGTCTTTTTATCAGAATGATCTTATATTATTAATTGCACGTATTACCAGCAAAATCATGTCAAAGTCGGCCAAGAAAAGGCACTTTTGAAAACCAAACAAAATAAAAAAAAATAAATAAAAATAAAAACTTTAACTAGTTATTTTGAAGCTGGCAACAGTGGTAACATTTATTTTCCAAACTGTAAAGGACCTGTGTTTTCTAAATGACGAAATGCTCCAAAGTCAAAGTAGACGTGAAACTCGAGTAATTTCAAACTTTCAAGCCATGCTACTAGTTTAGTCTATTAAATATTAGTTCCAACTGTCACAGCGTCAAGCTCTTTATTGCCTTTTTTTAAGGGGGGAAAGTCAAGACTCGTACCGACTAAAAACCACCCCGTTCCTTTTCCTGCACGTCGAGCCGGAGCCCCGGCAGTCTATACAGTCGTCCAACGAAGACGTCTAACAGAGTAATCGTGCGGGGTGTGAGGGGCGAGACGCGGGTAGGCCGATCCCGAGCTGCGAACAAAACGATGTTAGCAGCTCGGGATATACTATTATAGACCGACCTCTATTTGAGAACCATTTCATTATTCAGTAAGCTATAAATTGTTGCGTGTTATTGTGTGACTTGGCCGTTGAAGGCGAAGGGTACACAAGGGTGCAAAACCAGGTGCAAGGCATTGCACCGATCTATCGCCACACTCGCCACTCACCAGAACCGCTGTTTATTCAATCAACGTTTTCCTAGTGGCAATTTTCCATCTTCAATGGACAGCTGTTCAACGGCCAAGTCACACAACATTAAATAAAATAATAAAGAAATCGCAGTAAGGAACCTTAGACTTGGCACGACTTTGTCTAGTTATTTTATTACTTTTTATTAGAAATGAACAACAACTCTATCGAGACTTGGCTAGTTTTTGCAGAATGTTTTTGGTTGGATTACAAACATGTACCTATGCTATGAGAGACTAGACAGAAGACATGGTGCATTCAATGTCTAAATAAGACTTCACGCTTAGGGGATAGGGGTGGACGATATACATCGATGTTTTAAAAACACTCGATGTATTGTATCGATGCATCGTATTGAACCGATCGCGATGTATTGTTACTTCAACATCGAATACATTTCGATGTTTTTCATTCGATACATCGAATACGCACACTGCGTATTTATCCCGTCAGATGGCGCATCATCGATGGTTTGACTGACAACTGTCAATTTCTTACATAATCGTGATTCTCAATCAGAATTATTTTAATTTAATTTTTCAAAAATCATTAAAAAAAAGAAAGTGAGAAAGATGTACAAAAATTATATCCTTTATATTTAGAGATTACATAAACAACATCACGCCTTTTTATCCCCGAAGGGGTAGGCAGAGGTGCACATTTCGGCAGTACAATGTAACACCCACTTTTCACTATTTATGTTATGAGTCCCATGTAATAGGGGGTGAGCCTATTGCCATATACCGGGCACATTTCCAGACTCCGTGCTACTACTGAGATTTTTAAAAACCTAGTAATACTTTGCCCGACCCGGGAATCGAACCCGAGACTCCTTGCCCGGCAGTCGCACTTGGGACCACTCGGCTAACGAGGCAATTTAGAGATTATAAAATACAATTCCCGAAGTATAATAGCTTTTAAGTATTTGACAATAGTTGACACGTCAGTCCCTTCTGAAAGACTTTTTTCACAGGCAGGGCTGGTTATGACGGAACAAAGAAACCGGTTAAAGGGAAAGAGATTAAACAAAATGTTGTTTTTACATAGCATTGAAAAAAAAAGAAAAAAAAAGAGAAAAATGTGTTGGCTCTGTCTGTGATTTTAAATTTTAATACCTACATATATGTTTTCTGATTTTCTTAATACATACATGTTTTTGTTTTAATTAATGCCTAACCTAAAACAATCGATGTTTAAGGAACATCGATGTATTTCTCAATACATCGGATTACCATCGATGTAACCAAACGATGCATTACATCGGAAAAAACATAGATGTATTTTTTAATGTCCATCCCTACTAGGGGATGCAATGCAAAAGTGAGGCCCAATTCCTATGTTGGGGGGTAGTGGCATGACCTTACTGATTGATTACTTAGGTACCAATACATATCTACGTGGTAGTGTCTATATAATGGACTTCATGGGTAACAGGGTAAAGAAAGGGTCGGTGAGTATTCTTAGGGGATAAATAAGTACCTAGGAACGTTGATTAGATAAGTGAATGGATTAAACATGAATGACATGAGATACATGAAGCGATATCTCGAACGGAGCGCCCGGCACAGTTGGCAGGCGGCGCAGGCGGGCGAGGCAGGGTCGGCGGCGGGCGCGCGGGGTGCGAGCGGCCGGCGGCGCGGCTGGCGCGCGGCGTCGGGCGGTGTCT